AATTATGTGTGCTCCGTCTAGGTTATTGGAGCAAATTATATATTCGAAACTGTATAAATTCGCAAATAAATACATAGCACCTGAACAACATGGCTTTATGACCCAGAAGTCAGTAAATACTAATTTATTTATTTTTAGCAACCATGCTTTTGAAACTTTACAAAATAAATCTCAATTGGACATAGTATTCACAGACTTCCGTAAAGCCTTTGATCAAGTAAATCATGATGTGCTTTTGCTAAAAATTAGTAAATTTGGGTTGTCGAGGAATTTTCTTGAATTGATTAAAAATTACTTGAGAAATAGATATTTCATTGTTAAACATAATGGGAACACTTCGGGAAAATTTTATGCTAATTCCGGTGTTCCTCAGGGATCAAATCTAGGACCTCTTCTATTCTTATTATTCATTAATGATTTACCCTCGGTCTTACATCATTCACATTGTCTGATGTTTGCAGATGATCTCAAAATTTTTAAACGTATTCAGACTGTTAGAGACTGCGTATCATTGCAAAAAGACATCAACAACATTGTGAATTGGAGTTATACTAATAAGTTATTTTTCAATATAAAAAAATGTTATACGTTAACAATATCCCGTTTGAAAGATGTGATCAAATTTGAATATCATATGGATGGAGAGGTCCTGGGTGAAAAAACCGAGGTGAAAGACTTAGGCATTACTTATAATAGTACTTTTTCCTTCACAAAGCATATAATGGTATTAGTAAAATCTGCAAATCGTATGTTGGGATATTTAATGAGACAAACGCGTGAATTTAATAATATAAATACAATTAAATTACTCTACTATACTATAGTTAGACCAAAACTGGAGTTTGCTTCAATAATTTGGACAGGAGAATACAAAACTACTTTAAAAGAAATTGAAAAGGTTCAAAACAAATTTCTTCGATATCTCTATTTTAAAAAATATCATAAATGGCCCGATTACAATTTAATACGAACATCACGGCTAAGGAGCGAATTCAAAATATTATCATTAGAACAAAGACGCAATTTGTCAGCCCTGATATTCATATATAAAATAATTAATAATCGAATTGATTCCCCCGAAATCCTACACTTGATTCCGTTTCATGTCCCTTCACGCCGTACTCGACATACAATTATGTTCAATATTTCTGTGTCAATATCTAGCACTAGATCACCTCTCGCAACCATGTTGATATTAGCTAATGAATTCAATGAAATAACGGATATTGATTGGTCTTTACCATATTCCAAATTCCGTAACACAATACTGAATAATATACTGAATATATCTTCGTGAAATTTAATCTACCTAAATCTGTACCCCAACAGTTCTTATAGTAGGTACGTAATGAAAATATATTTCTTTTTTGAGTTGAATTTACATTGTATATATTGTTAATAATAGGAATCCATGTAATAAAACTTAACAAGTTTGTATGGATCAAATAAATAAATAAATAAAATATATTGTAGAATAGTTCAATGTACTAGTAACTGATAGGCTACCATGTAATGAAACGTGTCTTAATTAAAATTTATTGGGAAAATTCTATAATTATTATCATGGATAGTGTTATTAATTTTCATTGCGACATGGTATTCATAACACAGGTTTATATATGTCTTTCTAGTGTTTCCT